CTCCCAAGCTTTCAACCACTCATCATTAATCTCATTCAAACATTGTCTCAGTAACAAACATCCATATAAATAGTAGAACACTTGTCCCCAGTAGGTGACCTACATTAATGCAATAAAGGAAGGCTACACTTGAGGGACCGAGTTTTTCTTAGTATCTAGATCAGTGTTTCTCAGCTAAATTTGCCAGATGTCAGGGCTTTGGTTTGTAATCTCCCATTATCTGTACAAGGATGAAAAAACTGCAATCTTATTTATTTAACCTTATTGCCACAGGCATCCTTTACTGCACATCACGAGGTTTTAGTAACTTACATTTAAAATTGCTATAGCATAAAATCTTAGCTAATAATCCATATTTTAATAGTATATAAGTTTTAAGTTCTGAATTTCCCCTAGTGTGACACATTTTCTCTAGGCATCTCATCTTCTCTATTTTCTCCACCACCTTTCATTAAGTAAGAAATTCAACATAAATTAGTCACCATAAAATCATCATTGCTCAGGCAAACCATAATTTTTATAGCCTTCAATTTTTTTGGTTACAGAGCTATCAAATGGAAAATCAGACCCCTCTTGCCACACCATTTCTTTCAGGATTTATTAATAGTTGTCTATAACCAATAGAAAGCCAAGGTTTTCATCTATCAAGTGATGTATTATATAACATTTTCTGAACGGAGAATTGTAAATTTCACTTTTAGTATAAGCTTCGTTCACAAGGTAAAGATAACGACTAGCTTGGATGATTTTGTAATGGTTTTGTCCCATAGTTAGAAAGCTAGAAAAATTGTCTACTTTCTGCATGTTATTATTCCATGTTCTTTGGTGCACTACTACTACCATTAGTATAAAAAAAAGTAGGGTTTAGTGTCATCAACAATTGAGAGCAAGAAAAAAGATTCAGGTACGTACTTTATTTCTTGTTTTTTATGTTTATTCTTTATTTAGTATTATAAATAATATAATAAAAATGTTTCACTAGGTACGCATGCAAACAACTTGTGAATAACATAACCTCCACATTCCCCAAATAGTGGTCAGATACAGTTCAAAGGGCAATAAAACTTAAGTATAAATAGATGTATATTGTAATGAGTTTAAAGCTACTTTGGATAAACAAATGTAGTTTCATGTTGTAATTTGAAACATTCTAGAAAGAAAAAAGGGTATTTA